CTCCCTCCCTCCCTCTCTCTCTCTCTCTCTCTCTCTCTCTCTCTCTTGAATGTAGGCTTCCACAGGATTTATTTCATTGTATGCATTGGTCTTTTTCAGATATTTATATTTTGCAAGATTCAGGAGCATACGTATGCTGTCTTCACTAAAATTCTATGTTCAATCTGTGGAATTTTCCCTGGCTTACTTTTATTATTATTTTATCAGACACTTTCAGTATTGCATTGAAACAGAATCCTCTTCAATCTTGTTTTCTCTACTTTCCTCATACCAAAAACAAGACCTTCTCCTGAAGCTTTATCCCTTTAAGTGTTGACCAGACCCATACACGCCCTTGCACTGCTGTCTCTGTTTATCACATATAAAAGTAGGAAAGAAGGGTCAGGAGAATGTAATTACTGACTCTGGAATTTCTCCAGGGCACCAGGATTAATGATTCTGCAGTTGTTAAATAGGAAGACTTTAATAATCTACTATAATACAGTAGATCTTATTGATAATGTACTGTTACTGTCCTCACAGTGCCCTCTAATGTCATCCTGGGGAATTACTTCACCTCATATTTCTGTACAGTATTGATTCTGGCAACAAACCAAAAGCTTGGACTATTTATAAGCAGGGTTGGATAAGGGGAGTTTCTTGACATTTTGCAAGCTGAAAACTTCCCTTTGAGAATGCATTCTTCGTAGTAATCATACAAGACATAAAAGAAGTGAATTGTTTGGATTATTCATTCCAGGACAATGAGGTTTATGGGCATATTGCATGTCAAGCAACTAAAGTGAATCTACAATTCCTAGTATTATTTTAGGCAGTGCTGGATAGAAATGGCAAAAACCCAATGTAGCTGGAGAGTTCTAGTTTCAGGAGGATGGTTAATATAGTCATATCACTTATAATACCTGCATAAAACACCATGGCTCAGCCCAATTTGCAAATGAGATAACCTCAATTCTGCCTATCCTTTGTCAGATGAGCTGAAAACAAGGGCAGCTTTGTCACAGGACCATCGAAAGACAAATACAAGATGGCAAGAACCATAATCAGATCTACTGACCTGTGAAAATAAAGAAATAATTAAGGAAGTATAAGAGAACCCAGATCCAGACTAAACCATTCATGTAAGGGGACACAGCTTTGGCCAGCCTTGAATGGCATCATATGTTGGAGTCAGTGAAGCCAGGAAGAAACCTAAATTTGCTTTGATTCTTCTGAATTAAAACTATATACGGTTAATATCATTACCAGTGGTAGGATTCTATTTTTTTTTACTACCGGTTCTGTGGGCATGGCTTGATAGGCGTGGCAGGGGAAGGAGACTGTAAAATCTCCAGTCAGAGGTGGTATTTGCCAGTTTTCCGAACTACTCAAAATTTCTGCTACCAGTTCTCCAGAACTGGTGAGAACCTGCTGAATACCACCTCTGATCATTACTCTCCAATTATGTATTTACATATTTACCAGATAGGGAGAGAATTTTTCTCCAAGATGTGAATTGATAGGAGACCTCATATAGGGGGCGTGCATAAGCGCACTAAAACGTGCCTACCATCCCTGTCCTATTGTTTCTTTTTTTCTTATTCATATCCATTTCATGTATTTATAACCATGTTTATACTTATACCTGTAATCTAATAATTGTTTGACAAAATAAATAAATAAATAAATTCTCTGATTGAGAATATTAAAAGCTAAAAGAAGACTTTTTTTTGGAAACTAAGGTTGCCAGAGAAGTGTGGATGGCCATGGGTCTTCTACTAGGAAGAAGATCTCTTTGAAGAAGAGCAGGAAGCTTATGTCTTGCTTGGAAGGGCTGGGGAATTTCAACTCTTTGTAATCCTAATTGGGTTTTCTCCCCTTTTCATTTTCTGTTGCATTATTCCATGCTTTGGTTCTGTACAGTTCTTTTTAAACTCTTTTTTGCCCTTTCCATTTAGTCACAATTTTACTTTTTCTCTCTTTTTCTTTTTTCCCCAACTTTTGCCATTTTTATTGGAAGAAAGGAGGTCAATCTGTGTGTTTCAGATATAGGATGCATTGTGTGATTTTGTGTGAAATCAGACTTGTCTCTGAGAAAGAAGGGCACAACAGTAAAGGATTCATTGGCTTGCAAATGGAGTACATTATTTTGCAGACTGTTCATCTCATTAATAATTAATTAATGCAATATTATTTGTGTGGAATGTGTTCCATACAAACATTGACTGATTGATTGATTGATCGATCTCTGGCAATGGATTCATATAGAATTGACAAATCTAGATGGACAAAGTAGGAAAAGCATTTTGCTTTTTGATCACTTATTCCTTATTTATGGGGATCTCCTGAGATTTAAGGCCATCTGTCTTTTGGGTAAATGGCTTAAAATGTCCTCTTCTTCTACATCTTACTGATTTCTAGGCCAAATTCTAAGCTTTGTGTTTTATAGTCTACCTTAAAGAATAAAGATTCCAACCCTCCTTCTCCACATACTATTCTGTCAAATGCCAGGGAAATCGGGACATTCAGGCAGCTCAAATGAGTGTAAAGATTTACTGCAAGCTTAAATTCACTACAAGAATCTAAGCTACTAACAGTCAAGAGAAATGAGCAAGATTAAGAAAGCATTCAAGGTGAGCTGGACTTAGATCTCTTTTGGGGGCATACAGGGACTCAACTGATGACACATTTATCTTCTCCCTCAGGCTGAGCCTGGGCATCTCCTACATATTCCTGATATTCTACCTCTAGTCCCAAAGTCATGACAAAAATGCCACACACACCCCATCTTCTGAAAGCAGGTACATCCCTGAAATTCTTACCTGATTCCCACATTGCAATTATAGTCACAGTTTGGTATCTCATACTCAAACTGTTGCCATCGAAGAATTGAACTATTGCTTCAAGCAGATTTAAGGAGGCAATTATATGTAACAAACAATCCTCAATGTCATTTCCCTCGTTTAGAAAAGTAAAAGAGGGGTATTCCCCCTTTTTCTTATAAAAGGGAGAATTTGTCCTATTGTTTCAGAAAGGAAAAAGTCTCATGTCTGCCATCAGCAGAGCTCTCAGAGCCACCCACTTCAATCAACCGCTGAAGGAGCCAATACTTAACTCTTGTTAATATTCTTGCTTCAACTGCAGAGCCAGCTACTATAGAAAAGGAGGGTGTGCAATGCTGCCTGTCAAATGGATGCCACCTGAAGCCTTCATGGAAGGGATATTCACGTCCAAAACAGATACCTGGTAGGCTTGCTCAGAATTTTCTTTCCATTTTGCAAGCCAACAGCTGCTTGGGGGTTTAAAATATCACTGCCCGCAATTTTTTTTTTGTCTGATAGAAGGCAAAAAGTTCTTTATGCATGCCTTTTTCTTCTGCCTAATAATATAGCTTGTCAAACAGCTGCCAGTTCCTTGACACACTATAGAAACGAGTAGATCCAAAGCCACCGACAGAGAAAGAAAGCAACATAAAGGACTTGTCCTAATGTTTAGATAACTTTGCTCAGATTTTTGCAAATAAATCTGTAATCTTATTTCTTGCTTTTCTGTGTCCAGGTCATTTGGAGTGTTGCTGTGGGAAATATTCTCGCTTGGATATATGCCCTATCCCAGCAAAAGTAACCAGGAGGTCTTGGAATTCGTCACAAATGGGGGAAGGATGGATCCACCCAAAAACTGCCCTGGCCCTGTGTAGGAAAACTTTCAAGCTCCATAAGCGCATGCCGAACATTAAATAGATTTCATTTCTGATATTTTTTTTCAGCTATGTGTATATATAGTCAGTCAGACTTGTATGTAGGGCATCTATCTGATAAAACAAGTAATGTTAGACGCAAAGGGCTGTGATATAGAGAACTCCTTTCATAGGTACTAAGCTACCAGCATTCAGAGGGCATGGAAATAAGCTATTTAGGGAGCTTCTTATTGTCTAGAAATTTGTGGTGATTCTGCAACACTTGAGTTCCCCCAAACTTAACATGCCATTTTGTCTCAGAAGCAGCATCTGGAATAACAGATTAATTATTCATTAGGACATAGGAGGGCTGTTCTTGCTTGGTTCAAGAGATGCCAAATTTTTGATGAATAGTCCCAGCCATCATAGCCCACCCTAATCAATAAATACTCTGTCATCCAGATTTCTTATTCTCTACTATTAATTAAATACCTTTCCTTGTAGATTTAATTTATTTAATTACAGGCAATTGTGTAGATGTATAGTATAAATAGGTTCATGCTTCTAAGAAATTGCTAATCAAAGAATCCCCATTTTTTTTTCTTATATAGATAGATGTTAGAGACCTACTTTGTGTAGTGATTAAGCATCAGTCTAGAAACTAAGAGATTGTGAGTTCTAATCTTACCTTAGGCACAAAGCCAGTTGAGTGGCCTTGTCCCATTCATTCTCTCTAAGCCCTAAGAACATGGCAATGGCAAACTACTTCTGAAAATCTTGCCAGAAAACTTCAGGGACTAACCCAGGCAATTGCCAAGAGTCAAATGTGACTCAAACACACACACATAGCGAAATGTATCTTATTTGGCCAGTATCCCAATATATAGCTTAGTCTAGATCAGTGGTAGTCAGCCTGATCCCTACTGCCCATTAGTGGGCATTCCAGCTTTCATGGTGGGTGGTAGGAATTTTGTCCCTTACTTTATAAATTACCATTACTGTGGAACCGGTGGGCGGTTAGAAAATTTTACTACTAACAGAGATACAAAAGTGGGCGGTAGGTATAAAAAGGTTGACTACCCCTGGTCTAGATTAAGCATCTAGCTTTAGCCAAGCAATGGCTGCATGCCATTCTATTGTTATCATTCAAATTGCAGCTATGATGCTAGTTGACAAGGATCAAAAATTTATTTGTGAATGGTAATATAAAAAATGTCATTGTGACATTTTTCCTCTTATGCTGTGACAAACTGAATGTCAACCTAAATCTATCCTTTAGTGCCATTTTCTTCTTCTGCTGTTCTAGATATCGAATAATGACCCAATGCTGGCAACACCAGCCAGAAGACAGGCCAGACTTTGCCATTGTTCTGGAGAGGATTGAATATTGCACCCAGGTAACCATCTCTCTCAGGCTCCCTCACTGTGTGTAACATGGTGCAGGAGAAGACAAAAGGGAAACATGCCAAGCCCACCAAGTATAGTATACTGATAATGTCTTTTTCTCAAAAGAATGCAAGCAATTGCTGAAAGAGTATTTCAAACCATCCAACAACCACATAAAGAATAGGCCATCCATATCTAAAATGAATGTTTAGCTTTGATAGATACTTATCTATGGACTTTATTGTCCTTCTTTAATAAACCATATTTGCACAGACCTGTAAGTCTTCAGCACACCTTGAGTTCATTGCATTTGGTTCCCCCAAACTAGAGTATTCTTTTTTAGCATCTAGTGCAGGCACAACTTGAAGTCAGTGCGCTAGAAAAAGCTACATTCTAGAAATATACTCCAGATCCACATATACCCATCCCACATCATTTTCTCTTACACGTTCAATACACCCAAAGTGGGTAAAGGTTTGAAAAACAGAACGCAATATAATCAGAGTAGTTATTTTCCTAGCATATGTTTCAAAGTCAGTTTTAATGTCTTCTAGGTGTAGCTGATGGTCCTCGTGGAACTGCAGATCAGAAGTATAGAGAAGAATCTGTCTCTTAAATATTTCTTCCACCCAATCCTAATACTATATATCTGGAAAAAGTTTTTTTTTTTGTTTTAATCAATTAACTATTGCTCTTATAATTCCATTAAATACAATACGCTGGGATCAATCAACCACAGTGAGACTGTGCACACTTCAGAAATTATCTAAAAGAAGTTCTTTGGATTATGCATCTTCTTTTAAGAAGAGCAGGCTTTCTCTGCTCTTCTTAAAGCAACTTAACTAATTTCATGAGCATAAGAAAGTGCTACTGTCTTAAGGAATCCACTCAGAAACGTGAGTTCCACATGGAAAACATGGAATCCATACATTTATTTATTCATATGAAAGTTTTTTTTATCAGTCTCATTTTCTGCCTAACAGATTTATTGTGCAATTGTGAATTTTAATATTAAAATTATGTATAATTTTATGCCATTATAATATTATGTCAGGAAGATGAGGGAGAGAATATCTCTGTTTATTCCAAAATATATTATTCCACTAGTGTTTTAGCCATAACTAGAAGATAAATACATGTTGCACTACTCTCTCTCCTTCCCTATAGGATCCTGATGTCATCAATACGGTTCTGCCTGTGGAGTATGGTCCATGCATTGAAGAAGAAGAAAAGGTTCCTGTGCGTCCTGAAGATCCTGAAGCAATTCCTCCTCTGTTAGTGTTGCCGCAGCGAGAGAAAAGGGGTGCTGAGCAGCTCCTGCCTTCCCCATCCTCTCTCCCTTTTGTCATTCCAGCAGGAAAAGCTCTCATGAAAGCAGCTCCTGTTGAGCCAATTAGCCAGGCTAACATCCAGGCCTCCCTAGAAGGGGGACATGTCAACATGGCGTACACTCAATCAATTCCTGCAACAGAGCTCCACAAAACCCGGGGGTCCAGAAATAAGCCTACCAACCTCTGGAACCCAACATATGGCTCTTGGTTTTCAGAGAAGCCAGTTGTCAAAAAGACTTCTCAGCTGGAGAAAGAGGCAACAGAGCAGGAAGATTCAAGGCATGAAGGCAGCTGTACTTTGGGGCCCAGCATAATGGCTGGAAGGCTGCCAAGCTCTTCCCTTCTTCTAGAACCATCTTCACTTACAGCCAGTGTTAAGGAAGTGCCTCTCTTCAGGCTCCGCCATTTTCCTTGTGGCAATGTTAACTATGGATACCAACAGCAAGGCCTTCCCTTGGAAACCTCAGCCCCACCTCTGTGCCCGCAGTTACGAGGACCTTCACCTTAGGAACCAGCTCAATCAACCTCTAATCTTCTTGACTTTCTTCCCATGTGACTTGTGAGCCTTGGCACAAACTTCAGTGTCAACCATATAGCAAGCACGAGAACAGAACAAAATTCCCTTCTGTTATGTGCCAATCTGCTCTAAAGTGCCATCTCCCCTGAAGCTTGTTTTTTTTAAAATCTCTTAATAAGTTTCAAATTATCAGTGCTCCTTTATATACACACCTACACAATCACACCTTTAAACACACATAACTATCTGAGATAATAGTCACTATTACAAGCAAGGTCCTGCCCTCAATTGCATAATATCACTTGCATGGTTGTTTGCTATGGCCTTTCCTGTGTGCTGCTTTCTCTTCATTGTTTATATGCCACTTCAAAACTTGCTGACCAAGTGTTTAATGTTTAGGGATTTTCTATCCTGCCAAACAATATTTTGGATGTCCTCATGATTTCAGAGAAGGTAGGGGAATGTCATCAAAGGCAAAGTCACATAACATGGACTCTGAAAGAGCTCACACTCAAATAGCATCATAGCTACCACATGCATGCAAAACTGGAGATCTAGCAACAGAATAGCTAAGTGTGTCAATGTCACTCCTTTTATTCTGAGGTGGAAATTGTAGAAAGTCAAAGAACCTGACCAGATGAAATGGATTACTTTGGCAAGGCAGTAAAAACCCTGTCCCTTTCCCATCTATTGTGATTGTTGGTTGGCAGCAGTTGAGCAGTTAAATCTAACACTTATCTTTCAGCATGTATTCATGTCATTGATGGATCTGCCAAAATGTGGCAGATGAGCAAAGGATTATCAAGATAGTAAAGACCAGATTGCATACTACTGAAACTCTCATTATGTCACTGTCATTATGTCATTGCTGAGGGCAAAGCTTGGCAATCAGAGGAAGAGAGTCCTTTGGTGTGAAGATACTAATTATTATAATATGCACAGTAGTTTAGGAACCAAGCCAAAGGCTTTTATAGAACAAAAATGTAGGAGAAAGGGATGTTAGAAAATCCTCACTGCCATTTTTCAAAGCATATATAATATATGCATATATTGATAAATTCAGCATGCCATAGAACCACAATCCAACATGCTTCACTGCTTGTTAGAAACAGCCATTAATTTGACTTGAATTGAGCCACAATGGCACAGTGGTTAGAGTGCAGTATTGCAGGCTACTTCCGCTGACTGCAATTTGGCAGCTCAAAATCTCACCAGGCTCAAGGTTGACTCAGCCTTCCCTTCTCCTGATGTGGGTAAAATGAGGTCCCAAACTTGTTGGAGGCAATATGCTGACTCTGTAAACTGCTTAGAGAGGGCTGTAAAGCACTGTAAATCTAAGTGCTATTGCTACTGAATTGGAAAGGTTTATTAAAATATTTTACTTTGTTATTAGTTGCCAAAATTATACCTACACAGTATTAGGTGAAAAAATTAAAGAGATGTTGATGCTTATGGTATGAGAATATTGATACAAAGGAAGATGTTGGCATTGTTCCAAGCAGGTAAACTAGCACATTGAGCCAAAGTTGCTACTCAGGTGTGCAACTTTCAACCAATTTCTAGCTTAAGTGAAAAAAGTAGTATCTTATGCTAACCCAATCTTTGCATCATTGTGAAGATAAATGAAGACCAATTTGTGCTTCCTGTCTTTGTTTTAAGTTCCTAATAGTTCTGTGCAATTTGCATTGCATAAGACAATTAGGTTACTTAGGCCTTATATGCAAATGAAGATGAGTGATCTTCCTCAATGAAAGCAAATGTTATTGACTGTCAGGCGCTCTTGGCTTCTGTAATAACAGTCAATCAGAATTGCTCTGTAAATTAGGCAAATAGAACATTTATTAACCCATCCCATTGACAGAATATCATGGTCCTGCCAGGAAATAACCAAGAATCTTAAAATATAGTTAAAAGTCAGACTGTCGTTCTTTCTGCTCTGAACAACCGCTTATTATCATTTTTACATAGGCAGCCCCATGTTCTGTAGTTGAATCAGGGAGCTTAAATTAGTAAGTATGTGGGTTTCTTGTTTGACATTTCTACTTGCACATAACAGAAATCACATTCTTTGTGAGAATTGTTCCTTATACTGATAAGACCAGCAATTACCAAACCAATCAACAGTTACATTCCGTCTTGCTTTCACAAGAGGGAACAGCCAGCCCCCTTAATTGCAAGAGTATGAGAAACTGGACAAGAGATTTTACCATACAGTAATTGCTTCTACGTAACAGAATCATCTGAAATAAATTTATTGGAATAAGTATGAAGTTTGTCTCCTGAAAGTCTGGGCAAGAAACAGTTAATCCAAGGAACAAATTTTTCAAATCCAATAGTACATTAAATTACAAGGAAATTTAAGGTTGCAACCGAATTCTAGCAAATACCTTATTTTCAAATAAGATGCTTATATATAAGCAATTATGGAGGCAAAACTATTACCTATTTTCTCACATACTTACAGTTTTAAGAGAGCAGTTTGCTCTCTTGTGAAGATGGGACAAAATGTACCATCGGATCGTTTTGATCGATGCTAGTCCTATCACTGTGATTCCTGTTTGTTTCAGCTCAGGATACTTAAAAGCAGAGTTCTGGATTCTGTAAAATAATGAATTCTGAAGCAGGTTGTGGTGTTGCAGTGATTATACCCAAAGCTCATGTCATAGCTTATTTGTGTACATTATGTAGCTTTGTGTGTTGTACCCTTGTTTTGCCTCTTCCAATAGCTAAGGACAGCACTGGCCAAGAATTTCTCTGGAATGTTGTTAATTATAGTTTTAGTATATGCCAGAATTCATAGAAAGCTCTACAAACCAGTAGCCATTCTTACCTTCCCAGCAAAAGGCCCTCAATGGTGTGTAATTTCAGTTCAAATCATTGAACTGAGATGTAGTTGCCTAAGATTATTGCGTATAAGGTAGTAAGCCATATAATTCTCTAAAGGAAATTTAAAGATAGATTTCTCTAAAGATAAATTTATCTTGATGCTTGCAAAGCTTACAAACCTCATTATGAAGAGAATCTTGAGTCTTTCCACAACAGTTATTTTTAGAGAATATTGCTGGAAAAAATTAGCTGACAAGCCTAAGTATCTAGCACAAGTGCATCATCAACCATTTGAGTTACATTACAGAATAGCATCAAATGCTATGCCAGGGACAGCAAACAGACCACAACTCAAGCTGTAAAACCATCACAAGTACATGGGAATCAAGAAATGTGCTCCCCAAGAATAACCCCCACCTGGGCAGATATATATGGCCAAAATGGCAAGTTTAGGGAAGAGCTGAAGGAATCTATCACACAATTTGCCTTTTAGCTGATAAGAGATGCAAATCTCTTTCTGAGGCATTAGCTCTGAAGCTATATGGAAAACATACATTCATGCTTCTCTACATTGAAGTCATACAGGGAAAAGCAATGAGCAAAAAAATGAATGTGGTTGCTGCAAAGTCTTGATGTTATGCACACACTATAGTTGCACAGCAGCAGAAGTGAAACACCACAGAGAAAGAGAGAAGTTCCCCCATAATTATAGTTGGGAGAAAAATATAGTTATAGGAAAATCAATGAAGCATAGGCAAGGAGAAACTAGGATACTACTGTATTTATGGTATGAATCATTTCTCCAAGTATTCTCCTGCAACATCTGTCTTGATGGCTGCCTCCAAAACATTGTCAATTTCTTTAGCTTGAGTAATAAACTTAATTAAATTGTACTAGAAAACATTGGAAGGATCCTTCTTTCAGAACTATCCTATATGAGGATAAAATGAATTACAGATCAACTACTGATTTGTCATAATACAACCAGTCAACCTAGTTCTTATCCCATGTGAACCCAGAATCTTTTGTAAAATTAAGATAGAATTGGAATTTGCTTTGCTTTGCAATATAGCAGCTTTTTTTTTTTAAGGTGTACAGCAAACATGGTGAGCTTCATGAGAAGTATCTGGCTCAGTGGAACCCCAGTATCACACTAGAAAGGCCAATCTTGAACTGTAGCTTCCATTCAATTGGAGGTTCATTGGCTTTGAAAAACATATTAAGAAGTTAAATAAGGTAGGATGGGGTCATGTTCGTGGGTAAGACTAATAGAAGGTATGCTCCTAGATCCACAGCTACACCCACATTTGTAGCTTTTTCAGGTTCTGAAATTCAGGAAGAATATTCTCTTCGTGGGAAAGGGAGTGGAATTCTAACCTAGGTCCAAGGGATGGTACATTCAAACAGAACATCTTTTTTCTCCATTTCGTCTGGAATGACACTGCTGTAGGTGTAACTTTTACATTGCAACTCTCCTCCGGTATTAGATGCATGAGAAGTCAAATAGAAAGCATATTGCAAAAATTAGCCTGTTTTTCGTGGGATATACTCTTGGAGTGGACATACATAAAAGCGCCGCAACACACAAAACATACAGTAAATGTATTTTATTTCCTTTCATTCTAAATCTAGAGTTTGGGCCAGGGGAATGAAGTTTTGCTGGGCTCATTTTGCAGTGCACGATAGCTACTGTTCTTTTAAGAATTTCCTTTCAGAAATCCGTTTCTGTAAGTGAAGCTATCAAGCTACGCCCAAACTTTGAATAAGTACTACAGTTTCAAAGGCCTTTTGCAGTTACACCTGGATGTCTCAACCCTCTGTGCCTCTCTTTGTATTAGAGCTTTGTCATTAGGAACGTGATTCATGTTTGTACAGAAGCTTGTGCAACATTACTCATAAACCAAGGGCCTATGCACTTCAGGGATCCTTCTCAAAGATCAAATACTAATATATGGTCATTACATATTTTCTATTGTATTTGTATTGTAATCGAGTGTAGTGAACCTAAAGGCATGAAAATAAAATGACTGTAAAGGAAGGCATGTGTACAATGGTGTATTATCTTTATAACTCAAAAATTCCTGTTACTGGAATATGAAATACATTTGGTCAGTATATAAAAGTCAGGCAATGGTTAAATACCTAACAATAATTCTAACAAGGAA